AGACAGAGTCTCACTCTGTTGCCTAGGCGAGTGCTATGGCATCAGCCTTGCTCACAGCAACCTCAAACTCCTGGGCTCAAGCGATCCTCCTGCCTCTGCCTCCTGAGTAGCTGGGACTAGAAGCCACACACCACCACACCCGGCTAATTTTTTTCCATTTTTAGTAGAGACAGGGTCTCACTCTTGCTCAGGCTGGTCTCGAACTCCTGAGCTCAAGTGATCCTCCCACACGCAGCCTTAGCCTCCCAGAATGCTAGGATTGCAGGCGTGAGCCACGATGCCCAGACTGTCCAATCTTTTAACTAATACCTTTTATCTGCTGCATTAACTTTCTCCCAAGGCTGCTCTCATCCTAGTGGGCCCTTACTAGTCTCCTCTATACCTGCTATGATGAACAAGACTTGCTTATTTACATCCAGAGGTGTGAAATGAACTAGCTAAAAGATCAAAAGACAGACATGGCAGCCAGTGATTTCACAAACTGCTATAAAAGCCCACGTCCATAGTCAGAATCAAGGAAAAGATAGTGACTATGGAAAAAAAATAAGACCATGGAAAGCTAAAGGGAAGTCCTTGAAAACTGGAATAGTAGAGAAGGTAAAATAAAATTTAAAAATTTTTAAATTCTAATCATTTGTTTTTATTTTTCTAGAATTTATCAAGAAAAGTCAACAAAAAGATAATTATTTAACCTGGAGAGAAGGTTAAGGTGACTAAAAGAAAACAATAAACAAACAAAAAAAAGTACTGAACTAATAGAACTCAGAAGATTTGGATTTCTCATGGTTTTTCTACCACTTCCTATATTTATGATCTAGACTAAGTCTCTTAACTTTTCTACACTTCAATTCCTCATTTGTAAAGTGAATATAATAAATCAGGCCCTATGTGTCCCATAGGGTTATTCTGATAATTATAATGATGTTTATTAAAGAGCTTTGAAACTATAAATACCATATAAATAAATATAAAGGATTACTATAGCTATATAAATTACTATTATATAAAAGATTATAATTAATACATCCACAAAGGGCATACAGTGGTGATTTTTTTGTTGTTTCATATCATTTGTAAAGGAAAGCATAAGCCATACACAGTGAAAGAAGTAAGCATGAGTTTGTGAAATGTCTTTCCTAAGCAAATGTTAACACTAGGAACAATATCAGTTAGGGGGAGAGTAACGTAAAATCATCCCAAAATATAGATAAGCAATCAGATTAACTTGGAGTTTGCCCAGGTCAGACCTAAACCTTAAGAATCTTACCAGAAAGACTTCCATTTGAGAAAAAGGATCATTTGGAATGACACGGGTGACATTTCTCATCCAAAACCATCTAGCTGAAGCTAGAATTCAGAATTACTTCAAGTTGCAAAAGCTTGGGGCATTTGTTGCATGACATTTAGACTTTATCCAACATTGGCCTAAAATTCAATCAAGTGCTACGATTTCATTTGACTGGATAACATGTACACATTAAAACTGAGAAAGCAGAAATCTTAGCCAGTGCACAAATTGGTTGACGAGAGTTGCCCAGGTGAAGAAAAAAGGATTAATTCTTGACTTAAAAATTGACACTTCCATTTTTGTTTCAATAAACTCATTCTATAAATATTATTGAGCACCTATTATGTTCTAGGCATTGTTCAAGACATTGGGGAATATAAGTGACAAAAACAGTCAAAACTCTGCCATCATAGAGCTTATATTCTAATGAGAAAGAGGCCAATAAATTTAAAAGATACACAAATTATATAGTAGGTTAAAAGTTGATAAAGGCTCTGGAAACAAATAGAAAAATGAGGAATGTTTGGAAGGTTGCAATTTTAAATAGGATAGTCAAAGTAAACCTCACTAAGATGACATTTAAGCAGACACTTGAAGGAGGTGATGGGGTTTGGTGGGGTACTATAATCATGGGGGTCTTTTCATCAATTTTAATTTTTTACCACTTTAATAATAAGTAAAAGATATTCTTATAAATTGACCTTTGCATTATAATAATGAAAAGTTGTAAATCGGTAATTTAATAGTAAAACAAACTATGGTATATCCAAATGATGTTACATAATACAGTCACTTAAAATGTATTCAAAGACTATAAAAATGGGAAAATACAATAAAATGATTTTTTAAATACAAAAATGTATGTACAGTATGATCCAATTTGGCAAATATTTTTTTTTTCATTTACTCAACAACTTTTTCAAGTACCTACTATGAGCCAGGCACAGTTCTCAGCACCAGAAAGGGGACAGTAAACAAGCTAGACATGTTCTTTCTTCTCATACACAAATAGATAAAAGACTGAAATGCAATGCACCAAAATGTTACTAGGGAGTAAAATTCTTTATTATGAAATAATAATGTAAAATTATGGATTATTTTATTTTCTTCTTTATGATTAAACATAGTGCAAAGTTTCTAAATATTTTCTGAATAATTCAAAAAATAAACCATGGCATCTATAGTTATCTGAATATTATGGTCCACATTTGCTTTCGGATATCTATGTTTGGATAAGCACAGATTTGCAGTCTTAAAATATTCTACCAAACGAATATTACACTTTTCAATAATATGACAATTCTTATGTCTATTAACATCTAATAAAGTTGAGTAACATCAGGTCCCTTTCTACAGACACAAAAACTAAGAAACAGAAAAGTTAACTAATTTACCACACTAGAAATAAAAAGTATTTAAATTGTAAATTATAATAATGTATATGAAAGTATCTCACACAGTACTAGATGAAGAAAAGTTTGCCGATTTCAGATCCTATGCTAGTACTTTATGGTGCATCTCTTTTTGTTGTTGTTGCTGTTGTTTTGTTTTGTTTTGTTTTCACAGGGAACAAAAAGCATCATTTATTTTAAATGGATCTTTAATAATTACAAAAAAAAAATCTTACCTGAATGCCAACCCCACCACCACTACGAAATGATAGCTTTATTCCGTCTTATCTCAACCACTAAAATGACCAGTAAACAAGTTAAACATGTTCCTATTATGCTTTTTCATTCTTCCTTTGATTTCAGTTATTTTATATTTAAACAATATAGCAAATGGCAGCTATTTGTCTACTTATAATTAGTTGAGTTACCTTGGGCAAGTCATTTCAAATTTCCAGTCTCACTCTTTTGATTTTTCAAATATAGAAATTGGACTAGATTATCTCAAAAGTCCTTAAGCTCTGAAGTTTTATGAAGTTATTATTATTTCAAGTCTATGAGGTATGTACAATAAGTTAAAAGAACATAGCCTCTCTGAGGGAGGAGGGGACGGGTATATGCATACACAAAGAGTGCAATGCGCACCACCCTAAGGATGGACATATTTGAAACTCGGATTTGTGGCGGGGAGGCAAGGGCAGCATGTGTAACCTAAACATCTGTACCCCCATGGTATGCTGAAATAAAAAAAAAAAAAAAAGAACATAGCCTCTCAAAAGAAGAAAAGCTATAGCAATAAGGATGGTTGGCTGGAAAAAGAAAACAAAGACCCAGGATTAAAAAAGAATTTGTAAATCTCCCCAACCCCCTGAACCAAGTCCATCTTGAATCACACAAGGGTTGTTTTGGAATACTAAAGAGAAGAAATATGAAGTTGTCTTAGATCATCAAAAGATGGTCCTTTTGCTTATAAAAAATAAAGTACACTTGTTCCTACACTCCCTTTGGTTCTTGAAACACATATACACACACCAATAACAACAACCACCCTAACTGTTTTAATATTGATATGAAAGGAAAAAACAAGTCACTCATTTTGCTGAAATAAAAGTATTTTAAACCCAGAGAGGGTGATTTGGTTTTGAGGCGTTTTGTTTAAATAATACTGTATTCAATCCTTTTCTATCACCTCCTCTGTATACAAAACCCCCGATAGCTCTTAAAATTGTGGCATTTTTCTTATGTACATAGAGAAGAATTTGTGTTGCTATTGCAGCAACATCTAAACAGTTTCCTGTAAACTTTCTGTGATAGAAGTCATAGAATTTATGATAAAACCCCGTAGAGTGGTGAAACAAATTTCTTTCATATTTATCATTCATTTTATTCAGTGTGCATTTGAAGGAAAACCTTTTAAGAACACCAATAATGTGAGAAAGCTACAACAACTAAATTTATTGTTAAGTATCACATCACTGGTCCTCCTAGGAGTTCAGGAAGAAAGCTTAAATCACATTTCCTAACACATTGGAGAGCTTCCCAGAGATGTGATGGCCCACAGAAGCAAACCATCCAAAGCACACTGGAATCTGAGAGATGGTGACAAAGAAATATTGCTTTGTTTAATAAAAGCAAATTGGAGTTACTTTTTTATTATTTTAACAAAATATAAACTCTCTCTTACCCCGTTTTTCTTCTTTCGTTTCTCCACCCCCTCCTGTTTCACCTGACTAAACTGTAGGTATTTGTTCCATCACCTGACTTAGGGGCTGGCTAGAAATATTAGAAAAAAACAATCTACCATTGTTACATGAGACAACAACCTTTCATGTCCTTGAAGCTCACCATGACCTTTCATCTTTCCTATCCCCAATGGTCTCTCCTAACAACTAAAACTACACTCCGTTGGGCTGAATTCCAGATTGTCATAAAAAGAACCCTGTCCTTTCAAAACAAAACCAATTTTTACACCAAGGTGGGGGAGAAACACAAGTCCATTGTTCCCTCACAGATGGAAGTTGGAGTTACTAAGGCAACTGCTCTAATCCTCCTTTTTACCACCTTTTTCACATCACTGGCCTATCAAGTATGCTACCTTTTAACTCATAAGCTCAAAAGCTGGTAGTCTAACTGGCTGCCCTAATTAGCTACGATTTTCACACTACAGACAACATGATGAGCTAATCGAAATTTGCAAAATAATGACGTACCTCCAGCAAATATTCCTCCTCCTGAGGCCCAGTCTTAGAATAACAATAATGAGACCATTATTAGAGAAGGGCATTAAAATGCTGCACTGCTGCTAAACAGAGAACTTAATTGTTCTGGTCTTGTCCATTGAATCAACAACCTATTGTTGTGGACTTGAAAAATAAAGGACTGGAGAATGGGTGCCATGATGATTGGTCTGTGCGGCCATACCGGCACTCTGTAGAATTGTTTTCTTTTGAAAGTCTTGATGGACTAGTAGTTTTGTTTAAAAGTAACATAAAAGGCGATTGTCTGGATAAAAAGTCTATTTATTGAAATCCTTAGAAGCAGTTGCATGGATTTGTTCGTGACCCCTGAGATAAAAACGTACTGACCATAATAACATCATTTGTAGAGAGCCCTGTTACCACTGCCTACAGTAACATAAGATAAGAGACAGTCTTTTCTAGCTACAGTAGGAAGGAAGGAAGTACTTCTGAGCAGAAAGCGAGAATGATAAAAGGTCAAATACTGGATAAAGCTCATTAATCTCTGAAAGAAAGACTTTTAAAAATAACGCTAATTTAAGAATTCTGTACAATTGCTACAGATTCAAGCACATGTAAAAAAGGCACACAGCTTTTTTTCCTTTTCTTTTCCCACTTTTGAGCTTCTTTCCTTTAGTAAAAAGAGGATTAAAATAAAATGATTATTAAATAACTGAAGCAAGATGCCTCAGGATAACCTGGAGAACAAGAAATCCAAAGATTTCCAGATAATTATTCCTACGGTCATCCTCAGTATATATAGAGAATAACAAAACACCGAAGTTAAAGGTTAACTAGTGTAGGATTCTTAGGAGTAGAAAAGCACTGTTTACACACTGTAAAAGTGTCTTCTATATGGAGCCACAGTATATGTTTTCTGTAAAGTCAGGCCAGGATTTTACTGTTGAATTGTGGGGGAGGGGTATACTTTTTTGTTAGTGGGTATTTGGGGTAGGGGTCTGTTTGTTTATTACCAACTGATATCTGCATTATATTAAAATGTATTAAATTGTAAATAAGACCTCTTGCTTCATTCAGTCTGTGCTTTGCTTCATTTATCTTCATCTTGTTAAGCTAAATTAATTAACAATCTCACTGTTGCACACTTTCTCTTTTCATTACATCAAATAATGGCCCATATACGGAGAAAGCCCTCACCACGGGAATTCTGCAACTCTACTGCTAAGAAGAGTTTCTGTGTATCAATGTAGCAATATTCATTTTATAAGAATTTATTAATGTACTTTTCATTGTTAACAACCAATTAAGCACCTAAATTCCTAATGTATTATCAATAGAAAACCATTAACAAAAAGCAGAATTAAACTAAAAGTTGCAAGACACTTTAAAAAGGAAAAAAATCACATTATATGTCCACAACCAGGTTTCACCATCAATTTCACCTAAAACAAGAAACACATGCAAATTTGGTAAGTATGTTTTCACAGATACAACACAATATTGCATAAAAGCTTTAAAAGACACACCCCAAGCTGTTCTGCTCCTTGCTGTGAAATGTCTAACATGATAAATTGGATGATTAGAATTTCATTGGTAAATCCCATTATTTTAAAACTATAAGAGTGAAATGTGTTAAACTCTTTTGTAAGTTTTCTTTTCAACCTGAAACTCTGTGGCATTTGGAGTTATGCAAATGTACAAAACAGTAAAGCCCTTTTAAATCTTTTCCTTGATCAACCAGAGCTTCTTTCTCCAATCACAGCTTTGTGCGTGATATCTTTCTGCTAGCATTTCTTATTTAATTAAAACAGACACTGACAGAAGGACATGGATTAGTACTGTAATGATGCATTTACTTAGATTAATCGGAGGCTCCTTTTAGAGTAATGGCTTAAACAAAGAACAAAAGGAAATTGTTATGAAACAGCCTTTTATCCTAGGCGAAGGTCGCATTATGAGGTTTTTAATTTTGTCAGCTTCTGTTATACTCTGCCTTGCTAGTGGAACATGAGAAGTGCTTTTACCCCCAATAAAGCCAGTTATTATAAAAACAGCCATTAAAGCTTCAAATTAAAATGTCTGATTTTAAAACAGGTTACTTAGCTTTCAGAATCCTCTAATTAGCATGTTGTGCATTGTTGTGAGGAAAAGAAGACTAAAATGCTAATGACCTACCACCAGGTGACCACACTGCTGTGCAAAATAATAAGGACCTTTCCAAGTAATATGATGAATTAACCAAGTACAGGTCCCCCATTTAACACCCCTCTCCAAGTACAGCTCCAGATGAATGGAAGGCCATAACTGTTAAGATATGTTCAGTAATGCCCTGCCTCTGTCCAGAAGACTCTGAGCCAGCTACTTTTTATACAGTTACTAAAAAGCAGATTTCTTTCTACCACAAAAGAAAGTAAATGAAATAGCAATACTAAACAGAGACTCTGAAATTAGAAAAGACAACAGTCATTTGATTTCAAAGCACAAAGAAAGAATTAAAGAACCATGTCCCTAACAAAATTATCTCTTTTCATCCAACATTTTCCCCCTTCTTTAATAAGTTGGGCTTGCAGAGTATAAATGGAGCTAAGGTTTGAAAGCTCAGTCTTTGTTCACACATTCATTTTTACACTGTATTGTCTTTAAATGGCCCAAAGGTAGAGTTTCCCTTTTCTGACCCTTGTTTGTTCCCTCCATTTTACCGACTCCACTCACTACTACCTCTCCTTAGTCAAAAGTTGCTCTTGACAAAGGATATATTTTCCTTTATATTTCCTATTATATGAATTTAACCCAATCATTTGTCCTACTTGCTTTTTCTGCCTTATCTTTCTTCATGGACTAAATAGTTCTGTGCCCTATAAGGCTATCATACATTAGGTGAATATGTAGACTGGGTGGGAAATAGCTCTAGAATTCCCCACAGAGAAAACACATTCTACTTTAAGTCAAATCTCATACAAATATCACTAAGTATCTTGCTCTACAAATTTCTTAAAACCAATGTGAAATAGATATTGTCATTGCAACAACACAAGAAATCACTCAGGATCATCAGTGACATCTGTCCAGTTAAGTCTTTTGAAAAAGGAGTTATTTAAGGTTGTATCAATTATCTATGGCCGTAAGAATTCTGCAGGGTCCACTGCCGCAAAACTTTGTAGCTTAAAACAATAAGCATTTATTTAGCTCATGCTTTTGCAGGTCAGCTGGACATTTCTCCAGTTTTAGTTGAGCCCGCTAACATGTCTTAGGGTTGGCTGGCTTCTGTATCATCTAGGATGCCTTGGCTGTGACAACTGGTGTAATTCAACTCTGCTCCATATGTCTCATCCTCCAACAGGCTAGCCAAGGCTTGTTCTTCTACAGTGACAGAAAAGAGCAAGAGTGTGAACAGAAATGCACAAGTGCTTTTACAAGCCCCTACATGTGTCACATTTGCTAACACCCCATTGGCCAAAGCAAGCTAAATGATTCATCTCAGAGTCAAGGGGTGGGGCTGAATGCTCTGTCAAGATTGGAAGGGCATTGCAAAGTTTCATGGCAAAGGTCATGAATACAAGGAAAGATGAAGAAAAATTGGGGCTTCTAAAGTAATCGGTCTTAGCAAAGAGGTCAATGTCATTTTGATGACTCACAAAGTTCTTTAGCAGAAGCCTCGGTTTTGTTCCATTTTAACTAATGTTGTCTACACAGCTACTCAAAATTGATATCTTTATTGTAATAAATAAGAAAAACTCTTTTAAAAAGCAATTAACAAACACCCCCATCACACCTATCTCCACTGATTTCTAATTTAAAAATTATAACTAACAATTTAATTCTAAAATGTAATCTACACAAATTCACAATTTATTTTTGTGCACTGACTTGTGAATCAGTTCTATGTATCTTAATAAAAGATTTCAAAACTACAAACTTTTTTGTCTCTGAAGCCTCCCTTCTACCCACAGAAGCAGCTAAATTTGAGGAGATATTTAATGGATGCTAGACCCATAATTTTCTTCATTATTATATCTCACGTAGCATAGACAGTTTCATTCCACAGAATATCAGAAAACAGTATTTCACAGTCCTTTACTGCAGCAGACATAGCCACAAAAGCAGTGTTGAAAAAAAATTTTTTAAAGCTCAGTCCCTACCACTCACATCCCTATTGTTCCTCTAATATCTTTGTGAAAAAGGAAAGCAAAGAAAACTGGTCTGAGGGTGCTACATGAGAAGGTGCCTTAGAATAAGATAATTAACAAGCTAATTTTGAGCTCTGCAAATTCCCTGTTTCTGACCGAAAGAAGCAAAAGATCAACAAGGAAAGTATCCATGATGACTACACCAGTTTCTCAGAGTTAATCTGGCAGGAGCCCTAGACATAGTTTTAGGAAGATGCCTAGCGCCAGTTACCAGTCTTTCCACTCACAAACACTCATCCAGCAAGAGTAGGAGTGATTACTGGGCAAAATTCCTAAACCCTGTGGCAAGGGAAATACTATCCTATAGCACCACTCAACAATTATCCCTGTGAGCAATTAAAATAACCAGTGAAGTGGGTCTCCAAAAGAAGCCTTCAGCCATTCCTTCCTTTGAGCCAGCACTGACAATGAGGGCTGCCAAAGCTGGCACTAACACCCGAGGAACAAGAAATAAAGGCCAGCAAAGCTCAATCTTGCATCCAAAGCTACTAAAAAGGAAATTAAAT